AAAAAAAAAAAAAAAAAAAAAAAAAAAAAAAAAAAATCAAGGTAATCTGTCCTAAAACTAAACTTTCCCTTAGGTGGATTCTTATCGTTTTTTAGATTCTTGGATAATTTAGATCAAGAGATTTCGTTCTTTAGGGATTTTTTTAGATAAAATCCCAAGTTTTTCATAACAGACACCCATCAATACTTCTCATCCACATTTTATCCAACCTTGTATACAACACAATTTGGCCATAACTGGAAGAACCAGCAGTCTTTATTTGGCATTGAATAGGCAATTCTAGAGCGAGGTATACTGCTTAACATTCCCCTTTTCACTCCTACCCCACCAAAACCAATAAAGATGAAGGGGAAAAATTATTAAGCGCATAAGGATCAAAAGCTCAGTCTTGATTAAGTTTCTCTTCTAGATTACTGAGAGATAAATACCTATATAAATGATGAAGTGATTACTGCCCTACATAGCATTAGATCAAGGAGTCTTACCTCCAACAGTGGCCCCTATAAGGGAGACAGAAAGAAGGATTGGCATGTTGAAAGCAGAATTCTCAGTCTCGCATGTTTCAGCCAAAACTTTCAATGGTACGGAAAATGTAAATACATTAGCTAAAAGAAGCGCCATAACTGGAAAATTTGTCTCATTATTTCCCTGCCAAGAATAAATTTATCAACAGAAAACCCCATCATATTCCATTGATCAAATTTCTTTTCAATAAACATAACAAATAGTGGAATGAAATCAAACCCTAATGAAATTCCCCTAACTTGTTTCCAGTACTTCTAACACTTGTAATTTCCACTCAGCAAAGTCCCAGATTATAGTTAAATAAGTGCAGTAGCAATGTTCATATCATGTTTTATCTAAAAATTATAGTATAAAACGAAACAGCGAGAGTTATCACAATATAAGTGTACCATACTCATAACCGATGAGCAGGAAACTCACCATCATACCTGACATTTTAGAACCGGCAACGAATTCTGTCTCCCAGATGGTGTGACGATGCTGTCTCCACAAAATGTAACAAAATTGCCCACATTAACTGAACCATGAGGCATTTTCCCTGCCATAAATGAAGACATACAACTCTTAAAGCTAAAATGTAACGTACAATTGCGTTGAATCCAATTTCCCCCATAATAGAACATGTTCCGCAACTCAAAGCATCAAAACCTGGAGCTAAAAGCTTCGGAGCATCATCCAGTAGAAATCCACTTAAAAAGGAATGAGAGTAGACGAAAAACAAAGAAAAGATTATACAAACACCGTAATACTAACCGGAAAAATGGAGTTTCCTCTTTAACTGACCGGAGGGAGAAGATCGCGGAGAATTATTCGGGCGGGAAAGAAAGCAAGAGCAACGCATTGCCATCGCTGTCGCCATCGCCATTAGTTCGGATAAACGCAGCTATTCCAGTCTACGATATCTCTATAAGCTGGTTTCAGTGGATATAAAAAACTCCCCTCATTTGTCAACAAAATAACAATTTTGCCATCCAACGTGTCAACGTCGTTAACTCATTCAATAATTAAACATATTTGTTATGCGAAGGGACTTTTCAGACATTTCGATACTTCATTAGAAACTATATAGTAAATTAATAGTTCTTTTTTTCATTATTATTATTTTTTTTTTTTTTTTTTTTTTTTTTTTTTTTTTTTTTTTTTTTTTTTTTTTTTGCTATTCTATTTTTTAAAATAGAATCACAGGCTCTGCTCCAATTACATACGTACCGTTAAAAATTTGAATAAAAATTTTTGTTTCGAAGTTTCGTGAAAATTAATGGGAGATTTTTCATGAGCACCACTGATGTTAGCTCTAGATCATGTGTTTGGTAATTTCACTCGTATTCCTTCAATTTTCTTGAGACGTAGGCTATCACTTTACCTTTTTTCATTAGAACACGACCCAATCCCTTGCCTGAGATATAAACGTAAGTACTGGTACTCTGATGAGGTTGATACTTGAGTTTCCTAAAGCTCTGCTCACGTATATCATCACAAGTGAACACTTTTCCATCCTAGGCCAACTAAATGAGGGCTTCGTTGAACTTTGAAAAGTCTTGAATGAACCTCACGTAATATCCTATTAAGCCTAGGAAACTTTAGACTTCAGTGACTGAGATGGGACGAGGCTAGTTTATCATGGCCTCAACCTTAATTAGACCCACTAAAATTCCTGCCTTGACGTTACATTGCCCAAGAAATTTACCTCTTATAACTAAAACTCACACTTAAAAAATTGTGTAGATTTGGTGTGCTCTTAACACTAAGAGTACTTGCCTCAAGTGCACTTCGTATTCCCCACTAGATCTTGAGTACACCAATTTATCATCAATAAACACAATCACAAACATATCCAGGAAATCCTTAAAATCTTTGATCATCATGTCCATAAACGTCGTCAAGGCGTTCGTTAATCCAAAGGATATCACTGTGAATTCACAATGGTCATATTTGCTTCGAAACACTATTTTTCAAGATGTCTTCCTCCCTAATCCTATGATGATGGTACCCTAACCTCAGGTCTATCTTTGAGAACGCCAAGGCTCCCATTAACTATCTAACCACGTCATTGGTACATGGTAGGAGAGAGAAGGAAATATGCTCTTGCCTTTTACGTGCTTGTTTTATTAGCTTAAACTCAATTTGAACGAATACCAACACTTTTTTTTTTAGTCAGGTAATCATGATATCGACTAGTTTACTATGTAAACTGATTTTTAAAATTGCTGATCTAGTTGATTACACCGTTTTTGTTTATTTTTTATTTTTCCTTCCAAAGAACATGCTTTTAGGAAACACAAATTCTATGTGTTTTGATGTTAATCTCATGACGAGATAATTTGTTTTATGAATAAATATCTAACCTATAGTATATTTTGAAACTGGAATAACATACCATTAACGTGCTTAATTCTGTTTTGTTTTATTAACAACTTTTGCTGCTTTAATCTAGAATCTATTCTCAAGGATTGGGACGGTGAATATTTTTGTCATTTTTGTCGGCTACATTGAAAATACGATTCTTTTTGGATTTGATAAGTTATGATCTGATAATTTGAACAACTCGAACTATTCAATCCAAACTATAAAAGTCAAAATTTAGATAAGTTTATGTGTTTATCTTTTAGAAAATTCAAAATTCAACAAACTCGAATATCCAAACTAAATTATGGGTTGACATTTGTTGTCGTATTGGGTTGAATTTTTGAAAAATTGGATATTCCAGTGAATTTATGAGTTGATATTTTTTAGCGGAGTTCAACCAGACCCAACGCATAAATAGGGTTACAATCCAATGTACTTTATTATTGATATTATTATAAAAATCAAGAATATTTATATTTTGTGACTTAGAAAGGTTTAAATAGTGTAAATTTATAAGATTTTAGTTATTAATAATAACAAATATTATTGATAAATAAGATTTTTTAAAATAATTAAAAAAATAATCTGTCCCACGAATGAATCCAACCCAACTTGAAAATAAAGGATTGGGTGGAGTTGAATTATGAACTTTATTCGAGTTTTGACGGTCAACAACCCAACCAACCTACATTTAAGATTGGTCTAAAAGATTTATTCGACCAATTCATACTCGCCTGCTAATACTCAAATCATAAGTAGATTTCATTTATTATCGGTCAAACTTTCATAATAAATTTTCAAATATTTGAAAACATAAACTGAAATTTGAGTTACTCATTCCTTTCCACTATTCCCACCCCTTTCAAATTTCTGGAATCTGTTGCTTTTGCTATCAAGCAAGCACATCAAAGCATGGACGGCAGCCTATCATGCTCTGTCCTGACATGGCTTCTAGTAATGTCCTTGATGCAGGGGCACCCAGCAAGTGCCATACTAGTCTCCAACTCATTCTTCAGCATCTCCAGCACTGTTCTTACGCCTCCTTCTCCCTTTGCTGCCAGCCCAAACAGAACTGGTCTCCCTATCTGAATCAAATCACAACCATTTCTAACACCGTTTACCACAGATTTAGCCAAAAAAAGTGTAGTGTTTTGGTTGGGGGTGTAGGACTTACTAGCACTGCCTGAGCACCAAGGGCTAGTGCCTTAAACACATCTGTACCTCGCCGCACACCTCCGTCTAAAAGCACAGGAACTTTGCCCTTCACAGCATCAACAACCTGCATCAAACTTCCTGTTTAAAAACCATACAGAAGAAAGATTACTATCGCATGTCGTGGATTATTGGGTTAATCATGGATTTATAAGTAAGGAATATATATCCATTAGTATTAGTACGAGATAATATCATATTATTGTGGAAAGTCGTGATTCTTAACATGGCATTAGAGTCATACCCTTGACTCAACCATGTCAATTGAATCCCCAAATGTTAAACAAAGAAATTGTGAGTTTCGAAGGTGAAGTCATAGGTGACTCAAGTGTCGAACAAAGAGGTACTTTATGAGAATATTTGCTGAAACCACAATGGTGAAAGTTTTCTATTTATAATCATTTAGATAATCAAATAAATTAAAAAGGATATAAAAATAAGAATAAATATGATACCTATGTAAGCGTTGTCTATAATAAAGGGTCAAATATAATATATGTTGGCCTCGATTAAGGGAAGACTTAATTTCTTCAAGGAGAAGTGTTATGAAAGTCTCACAGACTAATTTAGTGAAGGATCATGAGTTTATAATTAAGAAATACTCTATTCATTTGTATGGGGTTTTTGGAGAAAGTGCAGAGCAAAACCATGAGAACGCAAAGCCATGAGAATTTATGTTCAAGGTAGACAATATAATTCATGACTAAATATCTAGGTTTTAGACAAGAAATTGAGGTTCGATTAAGGGAAGGCGGTTCGAGGGCGCCGTATAGAAATATGCAAAGAAATTGACCTCTTCAAGGACAGAAACAGGGGCAGGAGAAAAGTCGAGTTGGCGAGCTCCATGATTAGAGACAATAATTCCATCAACACCAGCTTCCACCGCTCTAGTTGCTGCCACCCATCAAACATTAACACAACTCATAAACCCAGAAGGAGATAAAACAAAGCTCATTTCTTGAGTCTAATATCCTTAAGACATAGCTAAAACTTACCATCTTCATGAGTGAGAATCCCCTTTATCAGAATTGGCAAACTAGTAATTGATCTCAACCACCTTATATCCTGTAGATGCTAAAATTCATAACTAAACTGGTAAAAAACAATAGACATACAAACAATCTAAGCAGCTCATTGGACATACTTCCCACCGAAGAGACGCATCCATCATCTGGTTGGCAAAAGTTTCTAACTTTGAACCTTGATCCACACATTGAATGTTAATAGATATGAGGCCTTCAAGATTCTTCTCTGGAGGATAAATCATCCTACAAATTGGTTTCCCAGATGAGATAGAAACCAAGGGGTAGCTTAAAAAGATTGAATGGAAACAGAGAGATGCAGAGTGGTACTTGTTCTTTATGTCGGCCTCCCTTCTACCTAGTCGAGGAGTATCAGCTGTTAGGACAATTGCTTTGTACCCATGTCTCTCGGCTCTTTGTGCTAGGAGAGCTGAGATATCACGTCTTTTGAAGATCTGATAATTGTAGGAACTAAATTAACACTTGGGAGCAATTGGGTTGGTGAAAAAATGAGGAAAAGAAGGGTTGTTTTTACATATAATTGGAAGAAACGGACAGCGTTGCAGCTAGAGGCAACTTCCTCTATTGAACAGGAGGAAGAGTATGACAGAACCTACAAACGAAAGGGAATTGATTTAGTCACTAAATTGCAGAAGTAAAGTAATTCATTGCTTGTTTTCAAGTTTGTACCATTATTGTTTTGGCGGCAGCAGCTGCTCTGGCTGTGGCTAGCTCTCCTGAAAGATCACAGATATCATCCAGAAAAAAAGTGGCATGAAAATTTGTAAGAACACATGTCAGGGTGGAGAGGAGAATGAAGCACTCTTTATCAAAAGAAACCCTAGTAGACGCGTTTTAAAAACATTGAGAAGAAAAATCCAAAGAGGACAATATTTGCTAGCGGCGAATTTAAGTTGTTACAAATGGTATTAATACCAAACATCGAGCGATGTGCCAATGAGGAGGCTGAGCCCTAAAGGGGTGGACATGAGGCGATGTGCTAGCATGGACGTTGTGCTCCTAAAGGGAGTGGATTGGGAGGGTCCCACATCAATTGGAGAAAGGTTCGAGTGCCAGCAAGGACGCTGGACTTCGAAAGGGGTGGATTGTAAGATCTTCTAGCAAACGCTGGGTGCCACATTGAAACATTTTTTATAAGAGTGTGAAGAACTCTCGCTAGCAGATCGGTTTTAAAAACTTTGAAGGGAAGTCCGAAAGGAAAAATCTAAATAAGATAATATGCACTAGCAGTGAGTTTGAAAAGAGGACTGACCTTCGGGAATAGCCAACTTATGCGCAGCAGTGGGAGCAACGAGGATAGGTGCAGAGATGGGATACCCCAATATGGTGGTTGACATATCAACTTGGCTCACATCCACCAGAACTCGAGGCCGAATCCTATAAGCCATACACACGCCAATGAATAACATAGAACCATTTGTTGTTCAAAGAAATCATTGCTTAGCTTCAAAGTTACGTGATTCTATGGAAAGCTTGCATGTTCTCTCTAAGCGTGTGTTCGTCCTCAGCTCCCCCAGCGTAGTAATCATAGTACATATTTGGAAGTGCCAATCGAGCCAATTCTTCGAACTCATTCACGTTCACTGGTTCAGAAGACGAATTACCCTGATAAAATACATAATTTTCATTTTCTATAAATAATTATAGATAAAAAAATGTGTATATTATAAGTTTCTTTTAAAGAACTTGAACCTAATTCGAAAGGTCCATGAAAGTATGCGGCAGCTTACAAGGACAGGGTGGGCAGCATGGGCTAATGCCTTGGACACATCTGTTTGTCGTGGCACACCTGCGTGGCGCTCGTAACGCATATCTGGAAGTTTCTGCGTAGCCACGTTCACGGGTTGCGTAGACATTTTCAGTGGACGCTTTGTGACCGTAATGTAAGGTTGATGACAAAGCTTACATGTAATGTAGCCAAGGCAGGACAATAAATGTTTATCAAATAATGTATTTCCAATCATTATTTATACACCTAAATAAAGTATTCACTAAGCTTTTCTTTTTCTTTTTATTTCTATTTCTCTTTTAATATACTTTATTCATATAAATCAATTTAAATATACATTTAATTCCCTTTTACATATAAAACCTTATTAATAATTAAGTTCATAAAAAATTGTTTTTAATAACTATAACTAATTATTTATTTCAAATTAGTAGTAATATGTCATAATCTTAAATGTAATTAATTAATTTAAATTCAATTTATAATTAATAAAGATATACTAAAATTAATTAAATATTCTAGAATAATTATTAAATAATTACTTAATTTTTTTTTAACCTAAAAATCTATTCATTGGTGTATTTTTTTTTCTTTTAAAATCATAATCAATTATTCGATTAAAATGATTCTTTTTTTAGTGGATTACTAGTGATATTTCGATTTAATTTTGAACTATTAAAATTATATAAAAATTAGAAGAATTATTTTAATTTTCGTGATATTTTATTCCTACTCATCTTAAGAATGAGTTGAACGCTATTATAGAGAATTAAAGAACCTGTTCGAGTAAAAAGTGGAGAATTCATATATATATATATATATATAATACACTTTTTATATTAAATATATGTATTAAATAACTAAAAGTTTTATTAGATGTATATGAAGAATAGGTATCGAATAATAGATATGTTTTTGGATGTTGCAAATTTTTATCTATTAAGGATGTTATTTTGTTTTTTAGTAAGCTAGATAGGTTTAATATTCCAATAAGGGAGGAATATTATTTAAAAAAAAAAAAAAAAAAAAGTCAATTGTGATTATTAAAATTCCATACAATAAATTAATTTAACAAATAAAGTTAATTAATTTAAATCCATGGATTATTAATTAACTACTATTACATGTTCTTATCCATTAAAATTAATGGAATATATATATTTTAAACCATTAATTAATTATTATTAATTTATTACAGTCAAATTAAATAAATAATTATGTTATTTTAATATATTGTTGTGAATTATTATTATTATTATTTTAATTTAAGCTTTAAAAGTTAAAATAAAATAACACATGTATATAAAACCGTCCAAAGAGGAAGTATTTGGAACCAACTACATATGGGTATTAAAAAAAAGTATTGAGAACTTGTACCATATGCCCGTCCTATCTTTACGAGAATAAAATTTATTCGGTTGGGTTGAATTTAATTTGGTTGTAAATTTTTTAATTTAAACAATTTTTATGAAATAATGAACTCAACTTAATCTAGATTTGTTGGGTTAAAATTTGTAATTTAATTTTAATATATTTTTTGAAAAATATTTGAATCTAACCCAACTCAATGAACGGAACAGTTGGGAGAGCTTAAAACAAGAACCCACTCTCAATTCTTTGGTAAGAATGTCGAGATAATAGCAAGAAAAAAGTTAAGGGAGCCAAGACATACTGGCAATATCTAAGACTACTTTTAAGTTAAGGAGTTTTCTAGGATTATGCTAGATATTTGTGATATGTATGAGAAAGACAAGACGTTCAATTTTGTTGAGGGGTTAAAGTGAGCGAGGACCAAACTCTACGACGAAGAGTTCAAGACCTTCCACGATCTACATTACAATCAAACTACTTTTTGAACTTAACATTGATCAACCCCAAGATATAAGACGGAACCAAGCTTCTACAAGTCGTGAAAATAAAAATTAGCAACCCAACTCTCCCAAAAGGTAGGGGCAGTGACAAATTTTAAGGCGGAGAATGTGAATGCGAGTTCTCCCAACATAGGTATAACTCCATGTGGTGACCTTAGAGCTAGAATAGTCACATTTAAACCTAGGCCCTTTGTCTTGTTTCATATGCAAGGGGGTTCACCAAGAACCGAGTGCCTACAAAAAGTGGCACTCTATGCCATCCAAGCAAAACTTGGAATGAATTGATAATACAAGAAGTTGATACTGTGTCGTTACAAAAAAAAAAAAAAAAAAAAAAAAAAAAAAAAAAAAAAAAAAAAAAAAAAAAAAAAAAAAAAGACAAAAGGACAAAAAGGGCATTTTACCCCTTAGCCCATTATAGGGGTCTTGAGGATTCTCCACAGAGTACCTGTAAAAGAGAGAAGTGTTAGAAAGAAAATTGAGAGAAAACTTGAGAGAGAAAAGTAAATCATCGGAGTCCTCATTGGAGAATCACCAACGAAATTCATCCTCTACCAAGACTTACACTTTGGAGCTTCTTCTTAGAGAGAAGAAAGACTTGTGTTGTTGAGGTTCCTTCTTCCGTCAAGATTTGAGAGAAATCTGCAAGGTAAGATCTCGAATGTTACTCTTTCGATCTGAGATCTTCATTTGGGAATAGAGTGTTAAAGTTTACTATCTTCATCTAGGAAACATCTGCCACTGATTTTGTGAAGAAATCAGACGAAATGTTGAGATATGAGAATCTTTCCAAGAACGGTAAGGATGTTATCGAACCTCTTTCTGACGCTCATAACTCGTTGTATGATTAAGTAAAAATTGAAGAAAAAAAAATATCGGCATGTAGGTTGTAGTATGATCTAAAACTTTGTTGAAGGAGTCATTACGGTTTGGATTAAGAAGCGAGAGATAGAAAAATGAGAAGAAGATCGGAAAACTAATCGAAAACCTCATTTTTCTGCTAGGAGAGAGAAGGCGACGACGCGCCACGTGTCAATCGGCAAGAGGCCCGTATGCACCAACAACCATCGGACACGCGTCGAACGCCGCCTGGGGAGACGCGACTCCAACCTTCTAGCGACACGCGTCTGCGGCCATGCAACTTGACCCGCGTTCCTCGGCTGACCTGGTACCCGTGCAACGAAATGAATTGCGGCGACCCGCGGTCCACCAGAACCGAACCAACGACCCGCGGCTGCAGAAAATCGTGTGCGCGTGACACTCGCGTGTGGAACCTGCGAATGACTTTGTTCCGACGCATGGCTAGTGCGTGAAAGCGCCTATAATCTCGTTTTCATCCCATTCGACTTCTATTTTCCATATTTTCCTCCTAAATTCAACCCTAACTCTATTTTATATGAAATAAGATCTAATTGAGGAAAAATCACTACTATTCGATATGCTAATTGTGTGGAAACGTTGCGTAAGGGCACGCATCATCCAGGTAAGTCACCACACGGAACTTTAGGAAGAAATACTTGTAGGAGTCGCTTGGTTATGCATGCATGCTAGTTTAATTATCTTAGGTGGTAGCCTTCCGTAATTGAATGTAGGTATTTGATTGTTAAGAGTAAGATGTATTATGTGAAATATTACGAGAATTATCTGAGTATTGCTATTATGTTTTAAGCTTCTACTTTATATGTATATGTTTATTTCATGTTGAAAGGAGGATAGAAACTTGTGAACTCTGCACTCCGGGAGTTGATGGATGTTATCGCCCCGTTGAACTTGTATGTTTACTTTGCATGAAATATGTTTGATGATGTTTGATGATAGTTGTGTGCACACTTAGTTAATTTTCATGACCCACATTTATGATTAAGTCTACGGATTTGTGGTTAGAGTAACAAGACACTAAGTATAGACCTAATTTTCCCTAGGAGCATAAGAAACTATCAAGGTAAACGAACTACCTCTAGAGTACCCTTAGGTTAACTGTGTGCGATTGGTGTTAATGCTTCGTGGGAGACCAGGGGGTTCCTGATCAGAACTCGTCTACTCTAAAGTTGTTTTAGCATGGAAAACGGGTGACCCACGTTGAAACGGACCATTTAGCTGGATGGGAATGGGGGAGGTACCCTCCCTAATCAATGGGGATTATCATGGGACTAGGGGGTTGCAACTCATTTACTAGATATGACACCCTGTAGTCTCATAGCCATGCCGAGGTAGCTACTCACAGAGTACCAGTCAAACACAGGTTGGCATAAGGGAACTCTTAAGGTATAAATGATAGGACGAAGTACCAAAGAAATCCCAAGGAGCTAAACCTGAACTAGATGTTCTAGAATCAAAGAAAAAGACCGTGGAAGTTTGTCAAAATTAGGATGTGATAAGAGGCTACAAGTAGGTGGCTTACTGAGTATAATTCTATACTCATTCTTGCTATACCTTTCCTTTTCAGGTACGTGAGGCGTTGGGTCAACAGAGGGCGCGTTGAAAGATGTGGATTGTCACAGAGGAAGCTTGTCCGGGGGCGTCAGTCCAGTCTTACTAATTAGTACACTTTGTCCTTCATGTTTTCTTTCCTTGTCTATAACTAGTCACATATGTCCTCTTTGTATTGAAACACTGTAGTCGAAAGCATAGAAAACCCTCGCGGGGGGACACTAAAATATTTATCTGCCCTCCGAAGAGAGTGAATGAGATAGAAGATGAGTGGAACATGGTTTTATGTATATAAGACGGATGATAGTTGACAATTGAATAGCCCTACCTATCTTAGAGGTTACAAAGAAAACTCCGATCAAGATAGAAACTTGGGGAGGACAAACTGGTTTTGTGATTGTCAAGATGAACGACTTCAACATCGTGTTAGCATACTTGAACACAAAGTCATTTTCATGCCCCTAGCAAAATATTTAGTAGTGATAGGGTCTAACCCAACAATTATTCGAACAATCACTCGTCATCCAAAATGGGTGAAGATGATGTCGGTGTTACAGTTGAGAATGGATCTGTCACAACCCAATTTTCGAGGCTTCGAAAAAAAACGAATCATGACTAAAAAGACGAAATCGAAAATAAACAAAAAGAAAATAAAAGTAAAGTAAAAGATAAAAATCCCATTTAATTAAAACAAAATAGAGAAAAGATTTGTTTCAAATTATTACAAAAGGAAATTACAAATATAAAATGAAATACAAAAGACTGTAAAAGACCGATAAGGGACTGACGCTCCGGAACGACACCCCTCTGTGATAGTGCAGCTCTTGAACACCTCCGCGTATCGATTGGTACCTGAAAAAAAAGGGAGAAAGGGGTGAGTATAAAAATATACTCAATAAACAACCTACTTGTAGGCTCTTTTCGCATCCTTATCTTAGTAGGTATACACGGTCTTATCTCTGGGTTCTAGGGAGTGCTAGTCACGCTACAACTCTCTTTTCTGTATCTTAGGAGGCTTGCCCATCTTATGCAGTGAAATGATTAGTGTCCTGAGGTGAGGCGCGACCTCATAAGTAAATCTGAGGGGGTCGTATGGCTGGATCCGAATACGTGACTCTCTTAACATCATCCGTGGAGGTTAGCTGACAACCCTCACACGGGACCATACATCCACTAAATTCGGGGTGCGACCCCCTGTGTGCCGGTCAGCTACTGAGTCACCCTACGTGGCTCCACGTCCCCTACTCAAGGACGAGTTTCTACGACCGAAGAGTTCTGTTCAGAAGACCCCTTAGCTATCACCACTAAGTCTAGGCACCTGTCCCACTTCCTTATCTGGATCTGCCAAGCTCAACGATCTTCGTACCAGAGCTTTGTCTCGACGGTACGGTATCGGAGCAGAGAGGGAAGTGGAGGTTCTAATGACACTATCCACACTGCTCAACTCTAGCGGGCTACCTACAGTTACCATGGTGACCTATTATTCTTTCTTGGGTGGAACTTGGCGGCTTAGACTTGGATTCATGCATCTCTAGGATTCTCGTGCAAGGTCTCACAAACCTATAAGATTTTGAATTATGGGCTCTGGATCCGCCGGTAATCGTTTTGCGGGTCTAAATGCACGGTATTCTAGAGGTCCCCCAATCTAGGGTCTTGTCTAGCCTAATTAGTCACAAGCACCTTAATCTAAGCTCACAATTTCTTCCTATTTATCAAGAAACATAACACAAGCAATCATCATGCATAGGAGTTAATACGCAGCACTTCATGCAATATTAACAAACATGCTCAACGGGAAGATAACGTCCATCTTCATCCGGAGCGCAGATTTCACAAGTTTCCTATCCACCTCATGCATACATACATTATCAGAATCTCAATCTAAACAGAAATCATAGGTTTCCTATTTTATTTCATTTTCATGGTTTCCATACTAATATACTAGGTTCGGTCAGCTGAGTTTATGGGTATGATAGCATGCATGCTTATTCCAAGCGGTTCCTACAAGTACTACTCGTGGGAATCCAAATGGCTACTTACTTCGTTGATGCGTGCCTTCCCAAGCTCGAATTATTTGCCGGAAAAGGTTCCAAAAATTATGGAATTTCCTTGATAGGTCCTAATTCACATAAAAATAAGATCAGAGTTGAAATCGGAGTGAAAATCAAGCAAACGGGGGACAAACGAAGGGAAAACATGTCACTCACGCACCTACATGCGCGCTCTGGAGGGTGTACTACGCGCGACTTCCTGCGTAGTCGTGGGCCAGTGGCTGGATCGGTTCGGTTCGCGTGGTTTTGACTCAGGCCGACCCGGTTGCGCAGCCTGATGTGCTTCTCCAGCCCGCGGTCACCACGTGTCGCTCGTTGGTCCTGGCACGCTCCTCCGTACACCTTCCGACACGTGGCGGCAATGCCTCCTCTCTCCTCGTGCGTTTTTTCAGAAACGCAAGTTCTGGCGTTTTCCATCCATTTTTTTCGATTTTTATATCTTCCAATCCGTAATCCGAATCAACGAGTTCTCTTCATAAATATTATAGATCTCATATTCTATTTCTACAATATATTTTTCTTGTATTTTTTTGGAAATCACAGGTCTTATTATTTGAGTTCGAATTTAGGGAAAACGAGTTCTTACCGAAAATCGCTTTTTCTTGAAACTCCGATTTTCGTCCATAAACTTCAAGAATCTTATTTTAGTTACATACCTCAAACACTCCAGATTTAACGCTCAAGAAATTCCTCAGATCTAGATAAAATCGAAACAAGAAGTTCGGAACCTTACTTTGTCCGTTCTCGGATTTTCTTGCCGGAATGAGTGGTTCCACCCCAAACTCCTTTTCCAGCACCGAGAGAAGTATTACTTCGAAGTTTCTTGCCTTGGATTCGATCTCCAGACAGTTTGTCTTCTTGCTCTTCCTCTCTTCCAAACCCTACCTTTTTTTCCTCTCTTTTTTCTCTCTCTCTCTTTTTTTCTTTTCTTTCTTTTTCTTCTTGGAGCCCAAACAATTAGACTTCTTGGGTAAGTCTCTTTCTTCTGGGAGCCCAAACAATTAGACTCGGGTAAGAGTAGGGGCAAAAGTAGGGGTGTACATGGTCCGGGTTGGGTCAGGTTGGAGGATTTTTTCGACCCAACCCAAAAGTTCGGGTTGGTTGGATTGATAACTCAACCCAACCCAAAACTTTTCACGACCCAACCCAACCCAACCCTCTATTTTCGGGTTAGGTTCGGGTTGGATCGGTTGTCAAATTTTTTTTAAAGTTTTATTTATCTACCATTTATAATTATTCGAATACGATCTAAAATATATTAAAAGTTCAGAAACAAACACAAATCGATCTATAATTATTGACAAAAAATAATAATAATAAAAAATTAAAAAAAAAACGAACAAAAATTGTAACATAGTTCAACATTGTCATAAAACTAAAGACAATTAAATACCGACATTTTTTAAAAATTAATTAAAATAACAAAAATACAAGAATAGATCATGAAATTAAATAAACAATAAAAATGATTAATTTAAGAGTATTGTATATAACAAAAATAAAAAATATATAAATTGGGATATAATAATGTTACACCAAATAAATAATAAATATATTATAATAGGTATAAATTATAATTACATAAAATTCTTAACATAAAAAAATTATACAAAATGTATATATAAAAAATAAAAACAAAAATATGTATTTAGTAAGAATCGAACAAATTCGTAGTAAGAATCAAACAAATTCAAACTCAGACGTGAGTATCCTTAAACTAAACTCAGTATCACTCTGGCAAACCAATTAATACACAAATATTCTTAATATATTTTATATATTTTTATTTGACTCGGGTCAATCCGAAGGTTTTACCCATAAACTCGAAACCGAATCGATTCAGTTCGGGTTCAGAAAAATGAACCCAACTCTACCCGAAATGCCAACCCTTATAGTTCGGGTTGAGTTGGTCCGGGTTGTCAGGTTGTCGGGTTAAATGTACACCCCTAGGCAAAAGGACCCTTTTGCCCCTATATTGTTATTTTATTTTATTTATTTATTTATCTATCTAAAATTCCAGGTATTACAGAATCTTACCAATGATGAACCCACGATTGTTGTCATTGTCATGGCTTAAGAGAGAAGCTCGAGTGAGTTCACTCCAACAGAAACCTCACGGAAACTACAAGAACACAGCAATGCAAAATTAGAAGGTAAGATAAATGGTTCATCCCCACCTAGAGAGATAAATCACGAGATTGATTTTACGTCGAGGGAGAGATCGCCTACCACAGTTAGGTTAGCTAAATTCTACAAACAGCTAAATGACTCGTTGACAATCAGGTTCATTAGACTCTCAACAAATCTTGTCAGTGATCACCCAAATGCTGGGGAGAGACCCCAAGCCAACAACTTTATGGAAGTGGGGAGACAAACATTTGAAATAACTCGTGCTCACTCAAGGATGAAGAACCAACAACAAGTGCATAAATACTATGGACCAGTTGAAGCTATCCACAAAGTCGGAAATGCATTATATAGGATCCAATTGCTCCCATGGATGAAGACTAGTCTTGTTGTCCACGTCAGTAACTTGAAATGTAACTATCCCGACCAAGAAGACACCAAGCACAAGAAGGTTATACGATCTCATGTAATAAAGAAGAATTTCGCAACGAAGAAAGTAGGGAGACTTCAACAAAGAAGATGCGAAGTCGACAAACCAAGAAGTGGTTTTCAACACTTACAGATTGTTAGAGATTCCTCAATACTAAAATTAGTTGGAACCACATTGAGAGATCTGAAGTCAGCATCATCCTACATCACAAAGTTTGTGAAGAGTAGGTTGACAGAGATGTCAACCAATTGAGTGGGAGAGGATGTTGCAATCATGCATGTCCAAGGTGTGTTATTTGTAGTCACGTGTTAGATGTGTCGGTCATGTTTATCCGAACATGTTGTCCATGGCCACATGTTCGTTCTAAACTTATTTTACTTGCTTTCCTGTTAGATAAATCTTTATTGTTATGTGGTGGGATGTGACTAGTTGTCAATTATTTATATCTCAGTTATATGTTATCAAATTTGTGGTGGTTGTTTATTCGCTTTCTGCTTATAACATTGATTTCTTCCAAATTATTTTGAACGCATTTATCTTGCTTACGTTTTCTAAAACATTTCTTTCAAACATGACTCGAAACTCAATCGTACATCAAGGTTGTCTGCAAAGTTCGACTTTCGTACAGCTAATTTGCTCACCAGATTAGGACAAGTGTCGCACAATCGTTGTTCTACTATCGTAAGAGTGAATTTACAACTCGCATAGTCGTTTACCCATGTAATAGCCCAAGTAAAAAATAATAAATAACAAAGTTTAGGATATTTAGAGAGGAGAAGAAGAAGAAGAAGAAAGCTCGAAAGAAAAGGGGGGTGCGTGGGCAAATAAGAGGGTAAACAAACAGCTTGTTGTACTTTTTTTCCTTTTTGTAGAGTTCCCAGCTCCCTCTTATTTGTAAAACTAACTCAGCTATGCTTAAATTATATATATATATATATATATATATATATATATATATATATATATATAGCATGCAGAGGCACTAAAGCATCGACGGCAGCTTATGGTCCGGTGTCCTAACATGGCTTCTAGTAATGTCCTTGATGCATGGGCAGCCAGAAAGTGACATACTAATCTCTAACTCATTCTTCAGCATCTCCAGCACTGTTCTTACTCCTCCTTCTCCCTTTGCTGCCAGCCCAAATAAAACTGGTCTCCCTATCTGAATCAAATCACAACCAGTTCTAACATGAGAGCCAAGAAACCAAGAACCCCATGATTTTATCTAACATCGTTTAGTACAGATTTAGCCACAAAAGTATAGTGTTTTAGTTGGGGGTATAGAACTTACAAGGACTGCCTGGGCACCAAGAGCTAGTGCCTTAAAAACATCTGTACCTCGCCGCACACCTCCATCTAAGAGCACAGGAACTTTACCCTTGACAGCATGAACAACCTGCATGCACTCCTTGTTAAAAAAAACTATACTGATGAAAGATTATTGCAGTTATTAGTAAAGCAACCATTGTAAACGTTGGATGATTGTTTTTCAACTACACTTGATATTTGATTAGCTTGACTCTAATTCTAATCTAGTTCAAGTTTGTAAAATTAGTTTATGCAGAAATTGAAGCAATTTTATCTCCCTGTTTTCACATCTTATGCTAATAAAGAAGTAGTACACAATGTATTTACCTCTTCGAGAACAGAAACAGTGGCAGGAGCAAAGTCTAGTTGGCGAGCTCCATGATTGGAGACAATAATGCCATCAACACCACCTTCCACTGCTTTAGTTGCTGCCAGTCATCAAACATGTTCAAGAACTCGACCGATCAATGGACATTAACACAACACATAAACCAGGAGGAGATAAAATAAGGCTCATTTCTTGAATCTAATATCGTTTAAGACATAACTGAACCTTACCATCTTCATGAGTGAGAATCCCCTTTATCAGAATTGGCAGATTAGTGATTGATCTTAACCACCCTATATCCTGTGGATGGTAGAAGATTATAACTGATCTGGAAATAAAATAGACATACAAAGAATCTGAGCAGTTTATTGGACATACTTCCCAACGTATAGATGCATCCAACATCTCGTTGTAATAAGCTTCTAGCTTTGAACCATGGTCCTACATACGATCGTGAGTTGTAAATAAGCCTAGGAGTAATAGAAATGAGGTTCTATAATTTGATATGAGTTAACAAATATGGCAGTATCATCCCAGATAACTGATAAAGTAAGATTAAAAAATTCCAATATTCTAAACCGGATTTGATCAAAATATTACTCACAGATTTAACGTCAATAGACATGAGGCCTTCAAGATTCTTCACTGGAAAGCCAATCATCCTACAAATTTAACCAAGTGGTTCTCCAGATGAGACAAAAACTAAGGCATAGCTTACAATTGGGATGCAAGATAAAGGAATTAAGAAGATTTTATGGAAAGAAACTGAGATGTGAAACATTGCTACTTGTTCCTTATGTCAGCCTCCCTTCTTCCAAGTCGAGGAGTATCAGCAGTCAGGACAATTGCCTTGTATCCAAATCTCTCAGCTCTCTGTACTAGCAGCGCCGAGATATCCCGCCTTTTGGAAATCTGATGATTACAGAATGAGAAACTAATTTAAAACTTGCGAAGAACTGGATTACTGCTATAGGAAAGGATTGAAAAAGGGATAGTAAAAATGTGTGCAAACGAAGTGTCATTTACATGTAATTGAAAGAAACGGACAGCATTGCAGCTAGAGGCAACTTCCTCCATTGAACAGGTCGAAGAGTAAGACAGAATCTACAAACGAAAGCAACTTAATTCAAATACCAAATTGCACAAGTAAAATAATCCATCGCTTGTAGTCACATTAGTACCATTATAGTTTTTGCAGCAGCAGCTGCCCTGGCTGTGGCTAGTTCTCCTGAAAGATCACAGATATCATCAAGAAAAAAGTGGCATGAAAAATCAGTTCTAAAGTAAGCAAGATACCGAAAGGACTAACCTTCACGAATTGCCAACTTATGTGCAGCAGTGGGAGCAACGAGGATAGGTGCAGAGATGGGATAACCCAATATGGTTATTGACATATCAATTTGGCTCACATCCACCAGAACTCGAGGCCGAATCCTATAAACCATACAGACGGCCATGAATAACATATAGCATGAGTTCTTCAAAGAAATCATTGCTTAGCTTCAAAGTTACGTGATTCTATGGAAAGCTTGTATGTTCTCTCTAAGCGTGTGTTCGTCCTCAGCTCCCCCAGCATAGTAATCATAGTACATTTTTGGAAGTGCATTCCTAGCCAATTCTTTGAAGTCATTCACGTTCACTGGTTCAGAAGACATTTTACCCTGATAAAAAAGAGACCAGAATTTCCTTAAGTGACATCCTAAAATTTGTTAGGAAAAGAGTAACAGGTACTTATACAAAGATCTGGAAGCACAGTGGATTGAATTAAGAGGATTTTCTCAACTTTCTTAAAATTTAAAGTAAGAACCTTATGGTAGCAAGAAGTTAGGATGATGCATCCAAATAAATGAGAAAAAGTGAGTTCTCCACAACACAACACCCAGTAAACAAGTACGGAACAAAAGGCATAGTTAGGATGGTTGTTTACAGAATTGGTCTGTAATCCTCAAGTAAGGACTAAAGATGGATGAATATAGCCAAAATTCGTAAGTGGAACATGACAAATAATAATTTATAATTAGTTTAGAGGGTGACTTTCTTGACAAACCACGAGGAATACAAGTAATGGTAACGAAACTGAGGTTACAAAGCAGTAGATGAGCAGAAAGTAAAGGTTAGAGATGGAATGTAAGGAATAATACTTGTGGTCACTTGTGTATGTGAGAACAGAAAAACATGATCATTGTCGCAAACAGTTGAAAAGGCTGAAATCAGTTCGTACCTGGATGTTGTAAGTTTTGACCCAGCTCGAAGGTGCAGCCTTTCAGTGAAGAAGAGACTAATATAAACAAATCGATGGACATTGTAGACATCTACTGTGATTGATATTAAATTCATAATTATTACAGAATGTAGAGGCCAGCTATGCCTCATTAAGCAGACCATTGCAAGTATGTGCCAAATAAACTCTTACCTTGCTTCTTCAACCACATACTATTCTATATTATACTAATAACTTCAGATTTCAAGAAATAAATGAGGTTAAATTGCAATTAAAATTGAATAAATAGTTATTAAATAATAAAATATTAATTACAAGTTGGCGAGACATGCATGAAATTTATGGTCAAAATTGATTTCTTAAGATACAAAAAGAAAATAACAAACCCAAAACCCAAATCACCTTGGTTTTCCTAGCCTAAGTTTGAATGAAGAAATAACCAATGGAAAGCTTACAACATGGGAGAAACCTTGACTTAGCAAGCATGCGTCCAAGAATTAATCAGAAAACCTAATTCACAGAAGAGGGGAAGAAAGAGAAGAGGCCAGATGTAAAGAGACCTCTTTCTGTTTTTTTTTTTTTGTTTGTTTGTTTGTTTTTTTTTTTTTTTTTTTTTTTTTTTTTTTTTTTTTTTTTTTTTTTTTTTTTTTTTTTTTTTTTTTTTTTTTTTTTTTTTTTTTTTTTTTTTTTTGTAGAGTTCCCAGCTTCCTCTTATTTGTAAGACTAACTCAGCTATGCTTAAATAATATATAGTATGACATTAAAGCATTGACGGCAGCTTATCATGCTGTGTCCTCACATGACTTCTAGTAATGTCCTTGATGCACGGGCACCCAGAAAGTGCCATACTAATCTCTAACTCATTCTTCAGCATCTCCAGCACTGTTCTTACTCCTCCTTCTCCCTTTGCTGCAAGTCCAAATAAAACTGGTCTCCCTATCTGAATCAAATCACAACCATTTCTAGCATGAGAGGGGAGAGCCATGCCCATAATCAAAGACAAGAAACAAGAAACAGAATTCAATTATAAGTTGAAACCAAGAACCCCAGGATTTTATCCAACATCATTTAGCACAGATCTAACATTGGAGACCTTTTATTTGTGAATACAAGTGTAATCCTGTTGTAACTTGGAATGAATCTATAGATAAAATACAGTCTCTAACTTAAAAATATCTAATAGGTCACTCAACTTTTAATTCTATCTCTAATATGTTCTTAACTTTAAAAAAATGTCAAATAGGTCCCAACTTTCAAATTAATAAAGATTAACTTATCTAATAAATATAAAATTGAATTTTATGTTCGAATGAGCCTTAAACTTTTAAGTTCGTGTTTAATAGTACGTTCGTGAATTTTACAAAAATGTTGAATACATCAAGAACTTTGTCATACATATAGTTGAAAATTCGGGGGGCCTAATAGACTTAACTAGAAGTTTAAGAACCTATCACATATAAAAGTTCATGGATTAATCAGATACAAATCGTTAAGTTTAGGGATTTAACTAAAAATATGTAATGTTTTCGTTGGTGGTATAGAACTTACAAGGACTGCCTGGGCCCCGAGGGCTAATGCCTTAAACACATCTGTACCCCGCCGCACACCTCCATCTAAGAGAACAGGAATTTTGCCCTTGACAGCATGAACAACCTGCATCAAATTTCCTGTGTTAAAAAACCCAACTGATGGAAGATTATTACAGTTATAAGTAAAGCAACGGTATAGATGAAGGATATTACTTTTCAACTAAACTTGATATTTGATAAGCTGGACTCTCATTCTAATCTAGTTCAAGTCATGTGAAATTAATTTATGCAGGAATTGAAGTAATTTTATCTCCTTGTTTGCACAGCTGTTGCTAATATAGTAGTACACAATGAAACTTACCTCTTCAAGGACAGAAATAGTGGCAGGCGCAAAGTCTAGTTGGCGGGCTCCATGGTTGGAGACAATAATTCCATCAACACCACCTTCCACAGCTTTAGTTGCTGCCATTCATCAAACATGTTCGAGAACTAAATGACTGATCAATTGACATTAACACAACTCATAAACCCAGACGGAGATAAAAGAAGGCTCATTTCTTGATTCTAATATCGTTAAGACATAAGTGAACCTTACCATCTTCATGAGTGAGAATCCCCTTTATCAGAATTGGCAGACTAGTGGTTGATCTTAACCACATTATATCCTGTGGATGGTAAAATATTATACCTAAACTGGAAAGAAAATAGAAATAAAAAGAATCTGAGCAGCTTATTGGACATACTTCCCAGCTCAGAGATGCATCCAACGTCTCGTTGGCATAAGTTTCTAACTTTGAACCTTGATCCTACATAAGATCGTGAGTCGCAAGTAAGCCTATGAAAATAGAAATGAGGTTTTATAATTTGATATGAATTAAGATACATGGAAGTGTGCTTGAGGGAAAGTAAAAGGAAACTTGGATGTATGCACATCCCAGATTACTGATCAAGCAAGATTCAAAAATTCCTCCATTGTATTAGTAAGTGGTAATTCCAATATTCTAAACCGGATTTTATCAAAATAATACTCACAGAGTTAACGTCAATAGACATGAGGCCTTCAAGATTCTTCATTGGTGGTGCAATCATCCTACAAATATAACCAAGTGTTTTTCCAGATGAGACAAAAACCAAGGCATAGCTTACAATTGGAATGCAAGATAAAGGTACTAAGAAGTTTCTATGGAAAGAAACTGAAACAAAACATTGCTACTTGTTCTTTATGTCAGCCTCCCTTCTACCAAGTCGAGGAGTATCAGCAGTCAGGACAATTGCCTTGTATCCAAATCTCTCAGCTCTTTGTACTAGCAGAGCCGAGATATCGCGCCTTTTGAAAATCTGATGATTACAGAATAAAAACTAAAATTAAGACTTGCGAACAACTGGATTGCTGCTATAGGAAAGAATTGGAAAGGGGATAGCAAAATGTGCAAAAGAAGCGTCATTTACATATAATTGAAAGAAACGGACAGCATTGCAGCTAGAGGCAACTTCCTCTATTGAACAGGTCGAAGAGTAAGACAGAATCTACAAACGAAAGCAACATAATTCAATTCTCAAATTGCGCAAGTAAAATAACTTATAGCTTGTAGTCACATAAGTACCATTATAGTTTTTGCAGCAGCAGCTGCCCTGGCCGTGGCTAGTTCTCCTGAAAGATCACAGATATCATCAAGAAAAAGTAGAATGAAAATCAATTCTCAACTAAGAAATATACCAAAAGGTTTACCTTCATGGAATGCCAACTTATGTCCAGCAGTGGGGGCAACCAGGATAGGTGCGGAGATGCGATGGCCTAATATGGTTGTTGACATATCAATTTGGCTCACATCCACGAGAACTCGAGGTCGAATCCTGAAAACCATAGAAACCATGACTAACATATAGCATGACATTTTCAAAGAAATCGTTAGTTAGCTTCAAAATTACATGATTCTACAGAAAGCTTGTATGTTCTCTCTAAGTGTGTGTTCGTCCTCAGCCCCTCCTGCGTAGAAATCATAGTACATTTTTGGAAGTTTCAACCTAGCCAATTCTTTGAAGTCATTCACATTCACTGGTTCAGAAGACATTTTACCCTGACAAAAAAGAGACCAGAACATCCTTAAGAGATCGATACTTATATGTGTTAGGAAAAGAGTAACAGGTGCCACCCAAAGATCTAGTAGCCACGAAAGGTCTTGAAGCACAGTGGATTGAATTAAGAGGATTTTCTCAACTCTCTAAAAGTCTATAATAAGAGACTTATGGTACCATGAATTTAGGATGATGCATTCAAATAAATGAGACGAGCGAGTTCTCCACAACCCCCAGTAAACAAGCAAGAGTAAAGTAGACCAGAACAAAAGGCATAGCTACAATGGTTGTTTTAAGATTTGGTCTGTAATCCTCTAGGAAGGACTGAAGATGGATCAATATGTTGTTCAAACAGTTGAAGAATATAGGAAGGTCTTGCCCAAAAGTTCGACCATTGAATTGTGTTCTTTAATCATCTTTTGGAACAAAAACTTAAAAAAATGGAAGGAATATCTTACATGATATGCAACTTTATTTTCTCTACTACGATCATATTCTACTTATTGAGGAGGGGGAGATACGAAGCTTCCCCGTTTCCCCACTGAAACATACAGTACCAACATACTGGTTAGCCAAAATTCAAATGTATTAATTTATAATTAGCTTAGAGGGTGACTTTCTTGACAAGTAAAACTGAAGCAATAAACATTACAACCAGCGAAAAGCAAGATGTCCCACGAACCCTTTTACTCATAATAAAATGGAATACAAGTAATCTTAACGAAAACTTACATAAGAAAGCAGTAGATCAGCAGAAAGTAAAGCTTACAGATGGAATCTAAGGAATAACACTTCGTCACTTTCATGGAAAACAGAAAAATATGATGACTGCCACAAACAATTTAAAAGACTGGAATCAGATTTTACCTTGATGTTGTAATTTTGACCCAAGCTCGAAGGTGCAGCCTTCAGTGGAGAATGGGTCGAGAAGTTCAAGTAGTTGACGACAGAAATTTTGCTAATGAATGCGTGTAGCATAGAAAATATCTATCAAATAATTTAAACCGATGAATTGTAAACTTGTCGGTACCTCCTATCTACTCTGGTTTATCTTAAATTCATAATCAGTACCGATAGTAACGTTCGATGCCAATGGGTGATGTGGCTAATATTCTAATGTTGACAACTTTGTTGATGATCCCAAAGTGGAGGCCAGCTATTCCTCATTATCAAATAGAGCAGTGTAAGTATGGGCCAAACAATACAGATGTGTAGTCCAAACATTAAGGCCCGTTATCTTTTATCAATCGCACCACAAATCAATTCTGTTGCTTTCCAGAGATGTGGCAAGATTAATTCTTCCATAACCAATTCATAAAAAGGAGGCAAATGAGTAGATTCTGGGTCTAGCAGCTGTTTCAATTTGAACCCTATTAACACGCTCAAATTCATTCTTCAGGTCTTCAAGGTACTGGAAAGCAAGTTTTTTTGGGTAGGCATGGCCACAAATTGTCAAATAGCAAACACGCCCTTCAATTATATTTCTGAATGCTGTCAAGTAAACATAAAATCCAGACACTCTAAGACAATAGTATGAATACTGCCAATAAATATGGGAAGAAATGGAACCAACTGCAGTAGTTCAAGAATGTTTCAGTTCCAACCATACATTATGGTTTGGTGTTAAGTCCAAAATCTGCTTTAGACTATGATCTTGGTATTGCCTAAATGGTGGCCTAATGAATGCATATGCATGACAAGAATATAACTTATGTGATTTCATTGCGCATGGAATGCAAACTTGCATGATGCGAGGATACTGAAAGACATAAGAGCCGGTTTCAATAGACATCCTCGAAGGCTCATTCTGCCCTCTTGATAATCTCTTAAACAACGCTTTGCTTGCTGCCCAGCATCTCTCAAATCACGACCATCATCTAGTCCATCAGCATGAGGAAGACCGTCAGAACACGGGCAATCATTATCAGCTTCACCATCTTTGATTTAACATCTACATAACTTTGATAAAATTTGAAACACCATTCAGCAAGTTAGTCAAATTGTCTCATAACAAGAAACAATTTGAATATGCTGGGAGCGAAAGCTTGAAATACATAGATTACGTCAAAGAAAATAAAGAGACAAAAAAAATGATAAAATTAAGATATGTACATATTGGTGATTTAAAACCTTCAACATTTGTTCCGAATATCTCAATGATCGTATTTCCAAGTCCCTTCCCACTTCCAGTGTAGATTCAACAACAAATATACCGACTGAAGAAAAACATTTCCCGTTATTCTAACAAATCAAACTAAATAACCCGAAATACTTAAAATCTCGCCAAATTCGCTCGGTTTTAGAGTGAGATCTATCTGATTCTTAACGTAAACTACAATTATACTGAAGACGCGTGTTCTTCATCTGAGATAACATTTTGCGAAAAATGAACCGATTGTTTTCTCAGTCCAACAATGATTAAACAGAACACGAACTCATTTAAAGTTCCAATTACAGTTCATAGCAACAACGGGTCATTTACCCCAAAGAAAAGTATGATACAGAATCAATCCCGAATCATGATCAGCGGAAACACTAAAGAAAAATCAGAGGGAAAGCCAGTAAAGTAAAGCAAATTTCAATCGTACCTGTTCAGTTCATTGGGGTTTCGGTTTGGTTTAGGGGAATTAACGGACTGTAAAAGCAATTGGGATATATTTGCGGTCATAGCCTCCTAGATTTATCCGACGTGGATAAACGTGGTAATTTTGTTTTTATTTTAATTTCTGTAAATTTTGTAAATTCGTTTACTAATTTTAATTTTAAAAAATGTCTTAAAAATAAATAAGCTTATTTATTTAATAAAAAAACATAAATTAACCGTTAAATAGCTTTGCCAAAGCCACGAGTTTCGAAATAAATAAATAAATAAATAAAGAGGTTATTATAATAAAATTGGAGTAAAAAAAATCAATTTTACTCTAATTTTGTAAAAAAATCAAATTTTTCCAAAAATGTAAGAGACGTTGAACATTTAATTTAAAAAATATTAATAATATATTAATTTTCATTCTAATTTTTAATTCCATCAATTTACATTAACCTTTAGAATGTGCTCTTTGACCCTCTACTAAACTATCTATCCAAATAATGTTTAAAATGATCTTTTAAGTATTTTATGAATTATAAATTATATATATTATAAAATTGATATAATTTCATATAAGAAACGTTATTATTGCAACATATATGCCTAACATGAAATTAAACTTCTAATTTTTTAATCGAGAAGGTGTGACTTAATCAATTATTTTTTTTTTTCATCTTCATATTCTCATTAAACTAAAAAACAAATAAACAAACTAATAATCACGCCATTTATTACAAATTACAAAATAAAATAAAAGTAATAATTAAAAAATCGCCCGATCCTTTGATAGTTAGTCAATCAATAATCGACATTAAAATAGTCTATCAATAATTGACATAAAAATAATAACACTAGAAGTCCATAATTGATTGATAAAATGGTCTATCATTAATAATTTATTTATTTATGATCCTAAATATTTATAAATAAATAAAAAACTTATTAAATTGTGTACATGACAACAAATATTCCCGTCATTATCATATATTTCAATTTTATTTTAACTTATCTGAATTATTGCATCGATTTATTTAATTTGTTATTTATGGTATTAATGAGATAGTAGACACTCTGGTGTCCTTTAAAGAGAAATTAATAGTTTACTTAATATTTAATTAAGCTGTTAATTTAGGATTAATGGGTGTTTTATAGTTAATTAGTTTTTTCTGTTTATAATTTTAATTTTTTTAAAAATAAAAACTAAATAATTATCAAAAAACAGACCAAGTAATTATACAGAATTTACAGATACAAAATCTAATATTATGAAAGAGATTTGTACAAAAAGAAAAAAAAAAAACAGTGAAATTAGAAACATTCATTTTGTTCTTCCTCTTCCTCACCTCCGTTGTTCCTCTCTATCCGTTAACGATCTAATGCAGTTATTACGATCCTGAAATAATTATCACAAATTATGTCAGCCATTTATATAATGGTCCAAGTTTAAAGATAGTCATCGACTAATTTAGGAAATGATAATTGATTTATAATCAAAGAATACTATTTTCATTGGTATGAAATATTATGAGAAGTAAAAGCAAAGATATGAGAATTTATGTTCAAAGTGGATAATATCGTCCCATTGTTAAGAGTCGTGTTTATCTAATATAGTATTAGAGTCAACCCTTAAACTTACCCACGTCAATAGAATCCTCAAATGCCGAACAAAAGTATTGTGAGTCTCGAAGGCATAGTAAAAAATGACTAAAACTCCAAAATAAAAGGAGTTGAGCCTCGATTCAGGAGAGGCGTATTTTGTTGTATCTGCTAATTTAGGGAATTATTATCTTTATTAGTACCAGGCTTATTGGTGGGAAGCTCAAATCAAAGTCACTAGAGCTTATATTCTAAGTGATAATATCATACGATTGTGGAGAGATTCTTATTTTTTATTTTTTCTCTCAAAATTTTTAAAATGAGTTCGTTAAAGAGAGGTTTTAACACGTACTTTAGTTTCATTCGTGGTTATTAAAGGAGGGAGACAAACTAACCAATCATAAACAGATGGGCTGGTTTGTTGAGGTCCTTCGAGAGGGCGGCGGCGGGGAGGGTAATCAATGGTTCTTCTTCTGGTGAGTCTCTTCACGTGGTCTCCTCGCGGTGTCTCCGGAGCTGCATCAACACCGTACGATCCAGTCAAAGTCAAGAGATACGACTTGATTCCAACACAAAAGTTTACTACTTACGAGTTGACGGTGGAGTCCGCGGAGTTGATGGGGCGACCGGGGATTCAGGGAAGGAGGCCTGAGAGAGCGTGGGGCTGGGGATTTCGATTCTTGGAGGAAGATTAGAGACGGCGTCGTTTGATAACATGGGCGGAGATCTAGAGGCGGAGAAGGAATTGTACTTACGGAGACGGCTGAGGCCGGAATCCGGCGCCGGACCGGCCAGGGTGTCGTCCCATAATTTTTGGAGGAAACTCATAGTGAATTAATTAGGAGTAGAAGAAGGTGGTGGTGGTGGGTTGTGCTAAATAATGAACATCAAGGATTAAAAGTCATTGACAATAAATGATTGATTTGATTGAGTGGCGTTGCTTCCTTCTGGCTTCTACGTGGCTTTGCAGCTCCCAAATCAACAACAACACTAATATATTCTATTTTATAAATAATCCCTCCCGACTTTTAGAACCATTTTTTTCACTTGATCATGTTGTGGAACTCCTCGGGTAGAATTAGGATCAAGCCAGTACCAAGAAGACGGGGTGATTCAAGCTTAGACCAATGAACTAAATAATTTTATTATTGAAATGACTTCCCTGGATTACTTTTGTGATATATGAATGACATGTACCATATCTCCTTTATGTATCATATTTTTATGATGCTATGATATGTGATGATTGTGTTATGTTGTGATTTATATCATGATATGAATATTATATAATGCGTGTACTTCCAGTATGTTATGATAACATGACTGCTACTATGAGAAATTCGTTAACAATAAATAACCATTTTTTTTTATTACTACCTATTATTTATTTTTTTAGAATTTGAAATTGAGTACAAAATTTCATTTTTCAAAATGAAAATAAAAGAACGGAAATAAAGAATATATAAAATTTATAAATAGACGAGAAATTGAGAAGCCTTGAGCCTATAAATTGAGTTGAAGCTGGCGAAGGTGAAGGCCCAGCCGAGCCCAGCCGATCCCAACGCGAATGGGGCTTAGGAAAGTGGGCAACTAAGCAGTGACATCGACAGTGACAAGGCAAGTAGAAATCCGACCATTTATTTTTTTATTTTATTTTCCACGTCATTGGATAAGATTTCTTTTTTTTTTTTTTTTTTTTCTT